AATTATCAACTCATTAAATACCAATTATTAAATTAATAAACAGATGTATATAAATTCTAAAATTGTATTTATTTTGACCCCAATGATGGTAATGCATTGTAACTGCCATACATTTTCAATTCATTTTTTTTTTTTTTACACATTTTGGGCCAAAAGAGAATGTACTAAACAAGCCATAAACCAAATGTGACTTATTCCAGGAAATTGATTTTAGAGGGAAGTTAATTTCTCCAGCGACACCACACAAGTTCCCGCTCAGAAATGATGACTTTTTGTCAAGGTTTATAGGTTGAAACTCTAAGTTATAAGAAAATAGTCATTTGTTTCAAACTAAAGCCAGATATTGAGGCATTGTGGATCATTGGTCCCATCATTTTCATGAAAATTTCAAAATTCATAGTTAAATGTCTTCCCTTTCATTGTGTGAATGAGATCTTCATTGATAATGATGGACGAACCACATGTATCTGCATTTTTTTATTCATTTGTGGATGGACCGCAAAGACACTTAATCCTTTTAATTTTACTGTTCGATCAATATAGTAACAGAGCTTATAAACTGACATTAATATTTTTTTCTCGCATTATCCAACATCAAATAGGATTTTTGCCATAGTGACTTTCAGACTAGGGGACTGAAGATAAAAGTATTACGGCATGAATTGTGCTAAATGTGGACTATAAAGCATATATAATAAGGTATTATAAATAACGATATGAATAAAAGCTCATAGATAAAGCTGCTTTGAAACAATGTGTATTGAAAAGGTGCTATACAAATAAAATGGACATCACGATGAAACGTCAAGATACGGCATGAACAAAATGTTTATTATTAAAAATATAATTTTAATATTTATTAATTTTACATTTTTTTTATGTAACAGGGATTAAAAAAAAATGTAAATGAAAAAAATCTCTTTACCACTTTTATGTTTCACAAAAAAAGGAAAGTCATTTCTATAAAACTTGCCAAGTAAGTAAAGATAGAATAGAAAGCAAGCAAACTAGACAAACTAGTAAAGATGACAAATGGAAAGAAAAGGTGCACGGTGTTATCGCATCATCAGTCTACACCCATTGGGGCTTGACTCAGTAACCTTTGTTTTAAAAGCAAAGTTTAGTTACCATGACCATGCCAAAATACTATATAATTACTAAACCAGAATTATAATGACAGAATGTGTCATCTGGATTAATTACTACGTCCAGACATCCTAAAAATAGTGAATTTATGCATTCTATGTATTCTTTGTGAAAATATCTATTGAATGTTGCGTTAAGATCTGACAAAGAATACTTTAGATACGCATTACAAATGACATCAACAGACGTGTAGTACATGTGCATTCAGGATGGTAGCACCCTTTTATTTCCCAACTTGATGCTGTTCCCCCTTTTCATAATTTACTATTATGTAAAAGCCTTACCATGGACAGGGGCTAAAAAAGTTACAAATCTGCTGCATAAAATGTATTTTGCTGTTAAATAAATTTGCTGTTAAATAAATAAAACAGTCCTTTTAAAGGGCACACACTCCCATGAAATGCTATCAAATAACTTTTTGCGGTATCTAGACTGACATCCACACACGGGGTGTACATGCATGGTGAAATCACCACTGCATCTGTCGGAGAAGCAGTCAAAGAACAAAAGAGTGAACATCTAAACAAAATCAACACCGCAAAATATACATAAATGAAATGTTCATTTCATTACAGAAGTCATGAAAGGAAAATGAAACTGTATTATACTTAGTAGTCCATCTTGTCTAGGTATGTCCCTTCCGAACATTTCTCACATTGAGATACCATGCCACTAGAACATTTTCTCATCAACTTATGCCCTGAAGAAAAATACATGACCGAGATTAAACACTCTATTCCTCTGAAAAATTGTTGTTCCGATGGTATTGATTTCAGACAGTGTACCTGGAGCACATTTGTCAAAGCAGAGTCCGTCGCTCCTGTATTCATTTTTAGAACAATCCCTTCTGCTGCGTGGCCCTGCCGCAAAGTCTACCGTCTGTGGAAAAAGTGTAACCGTTCATGACAGTTAAAAGTGTAACAGTTCATGCAGTTGAACTTATGGCTTGGTATTGCGCAACTGGATGATGTCATCACTGGGTAACCCTTGAAACTGTAGTTTAACCTCGAAACATCTGCCAAATATCTGCTGTGTGATTAATAACACAATTATTATGCACATATCTGTAAAATTTGAAATCTGCTCACTAGTTTCCTATGACTCACCAGTAATAGCAAAAAAATGCACAGCAGGAGTTTCCTCATGCTTCGTCCTTGGATGTGAAACGGTTCTTATAACGGGTGCAATCAACCCTTCAAAAAAAGAAGAAGGTTTAATAGTATATAGAGGTGCATCTCAATAAATTAGAATGTCGTGAAAAAGTTCATTTATTTCAGTAATTCAACTCAAATTGTGAAACTCGTGTATTAAATAAATTCAATGCACACAGACTGAAGTAGTTTAAGTCTTTGGTTCTTTTAATTGTGATGATATTTACACATTTTCTGAATAAATAAGGTTTCCATTGATGTATGGTATGTAAGGATAGGACAATATTTGGCTGAGATACAACTATTTGAATATCTGGAATCTGAGGGTGCAAAAAAATCTAAATATTGAGAAAATCGCCTTTAAATTTGTTCAAATGAAGTTCTTATCAATGCATTTTACTAATCAAAAATTAAGTTTTGATATATTTACGGTAGGAAATTTACAAAATATCTTCATGGAACATGATCTTTACTTAATATTCTAATAATTTTTGGCATAAAAGAAAAATCTATAATTTTGACCCATACAACGTATTTTTGGCTATTGCAATAGCTGTGCTTTATGACTGGTTTTGTGGTCCAGGGTCACATATTTTAGTAGATAACTGAAATTCTGAAAGATTAAAGGACTAGTATATATTTTAATTGAATTGTGATATACAAAATATACAAGATACATATTCAGATAGTACAAATGTTTCAAAAACATCTAGAATTTATATATTTTTTATCCAGTTGAATGCCACGTTTTGTGTGAGATATAGTTGTATATAACTGTATCTTAATATAATATTAATTTATTTATTTGTAGAACTACAGAACTAACAAAAAGAAGAGCACATGAATTTACCTCTATCCTCCGGGATCTAATGTTAGAGTTGCTCCTAAATGACTGAAAGAACGAATGGAATGGAAGTCCTTACAGGTTCTTATATAAGAGGACAATATTAGTCATACTTTTACAACACAATAGTAAAACTACATAACCACACAACTAATGTGGGGGGTACAATAAATGTCGCAATAACAAAACATTAAACCTGTCCAGTCAGATTTAGTCATCACTACGAAGAACTGTGTAGTGCAAACCTGCAAGATTGTGCAAAAACAGCACGATCTTGCAGGTTTGCACTACACAACATCAGGATCAAGACCATTCCTAACGGAGCCTGCAAAACAGCTTCTCGTCCAGGCCCTTGTCATTTGCTGGACTATTGCGATGCTCTTAACAAAACAAGATACCACACAAGTTCCTGCTCAGAAACTTTTTGTCAAGGTTTATAGGTTGAAACTCAAGCCAGATTTGAAACTAAAGCCAGATATTGAGGCATTGTGAATCACTGGTCTCATCATTTTCATAAAAATATCAAAATTCATAATTAAATGTCTTCCCTTTCATTGTGTGAATGAGATCTTCATTGATAACGCTGGACGAATCATATGTACCTGGAGCTTTTCATTCATTTGTGGATGGACCTCAAAGACACTTTATCCTTTATTTTACTGATCAATCAATAAAGTAACAGCTTATAAACTGACGTTAATATTTTTTATCCAACATCAAATAGGGTTTTTGCCATAGTGGGTTTCACACTAGGGGACTGAAGATAAAAGTATTACGGCATGAATTTCTAATGTGCTAAATGTGGACTATAAAGTGTATTATAGCCTATTATAAAGGTATTATAAACAAGAACAATATGAACTTTCGGTATGAGCTGCTTTGAAACAATGTGTATTGTGAAAGGTGCTATACAAATAAAATGGAATCAAGATTGAGTGTGATACGGCATGAACAAAATTAAAAATTAAAAATATAATTTTAAGATTTAATATTTACTCATTTTCAATTTTTTTTATGTAAAAAGGTTGAGTTTTTTTAAGGGGCAAACAAAAATAAAAATTCTCAGAACCACTTTTAAGTTCCACAATAAAAGAGAAAGTCATACGGTTTTGGAACGACATGAGGGTGAGTAAATGATGACGACGAATTTTCCTATTTTTTTGGCAAATCATATCCTTTTACACACAATAGCCATGTTCTTACTCTAAAATCTTGCATTATTTGCTCATTTCTGAACTATGCTTTTTAATAGAACAGCATGATGTCACTATTTATCGCGTCATCAGTCTACACTCATTTGGGCTTGACTCCGTAACCTTCGTCTCAGAAGTTTAGTTACCATGACCATGCCAAAATACTATATAATTACTAAACCAGAATTATAATGACAGAATGCATCATCTGGATTAATTATTGCGTGCAGACATCGAGAAAAAAATTTGCAAATTTATGCATTCTTTGTGAAAATATCTATTGAATGTTGCGTTAAGATCTGACAAAGAATATTTTAGATACGCATTACAAATGACATCAACAGACGTGTAGTACGTGTGCATTCAGGATGGTAGCACCCTTTTATTTCCCAACTTGCTTTTATGTAAAAGTCTAACCATGGATAGGGGTAGAAAAGGTTACAAATCTGTATTTTACTGTTGCATAAATAGTATACAAAACACTAAAATCACAAAAGTATCCCTTTCATAACATAAAATGTTTCATCTCTGTAAACATTTCATTCATGGTAACTGCCTTTTGTAAGGCTATATTAAACTTTCATTTCCTTTTCTTCTCGTTTAGTTTAATAGGTGTCTGTCAGATTGATTAGAGAAGCATCTGAAGGAGGAAGACAGAAGGCATCAAATACAGCATTTACAGTATGCCATGTGGGACTGTAAATGGAGACGAGACCAGGAAATTACCATAAGTCACAGTGAAAGGACGAAACTAGACTGAGTCATATGGTACGGCGACACCATTTACTGTATTAGCTGTCCTACAGGACACCTCATGGCCGTGTCATATCTTAATCATAGTACCATTTGATGACACACTGGAGTCGCATTAAACTGAAAGAAGATCATACTGTTGTTTCTGTAAATAAACCAAATGTCAATACATATTACAAAGATCTTGCATTTTAAAACAATGGTTATGCAGACTGAAAATGTTTCACCCAGATGTTTCATCCGTTATATACTATACTAATATACACAGTGTTGGGTAAGGGTAAAGAACAACTAATTATTAACTACTTAAAAAAGTGTAATTGGATTATTGTACTAATTACTCATCCATTTCATAAATTATTCTTGACCTGACCAAAGTATTTTTAAAGGGAGAAGGTTTAAAGGGGTCATATGATGTTGCTAAAAAGAACACTATTTTGTGTATTTGGTGTAATGAAATGTGTTTATGCGGTTTAAGGTTAAAAAATTTGAAATTGCATCATATGACCCCTTTAACATTAAATTTCAAATTGATGTTAAATCCCCTATTGTTCGTCTATACAGTATTTAATGCAATTACATCAGAAGTAACTAAGTAAATATGAAATTAAAGATATTTAATCTCTCTTGCTTTACCTTCTCAAGGGAAAAGTAATTACAGTAGCCTAATTAAACACTGTCACAGAACACAGACTCATAATAATGAAAGTTTATTGACAAACGGGTAACAGAGTGATAGCAGATACTGAATATAAACAACAATCAGAGCAGATGAGTAATAAAGACACCACACACACCTTCTGAGATGATGGAATGAGTGTATCTTAGCAATGTCTCTTATCTTTGCAGGTCTTCAGGAGAAACAGGAATCTGGGACGGAAGAAGCACTGGAGACTGGAGCATGGAGAAACAAAACAGGCAAGTAGTCACAAGTAGCATAAATCGATACAGGGAGTCTTAGCCATAGACCATTTAGACATAATCAGTCCTATCGACGAGATCAGACCAACCATGTATGTTTGTGCTGGCTTATTTGGAGGAACTGATGAGGCTGATGGCAGACAGATGTGGTGATTGGAGTGTGCACAGGTAGTAGTCAGAGAGGATTATGGGAGATCTAGTGTGCTTATGTGACAGGCATAGTGAATGGAGTTTGTGATCGTGACAATAATGCATTACACAGTGTAGAATATACTATACATTATATGGGTCATTTCTGGGATTCAGTAATATCTCTGCTTGGAATGTTTTTCAAGCTGATCATTAGGCACATATAAAACGTCCAACAAATCATCATTTTTTTAAAACACCTTTTATTCTCAACCCCGTAACGGACAAAATAGGTTTGGTTTAAATAAGATTTTACACAGAACTTATTATAAAATAAACATCTACCTGCTCATGTGACCCTCATAACAATTTAATGACATAAAATGTAACTTTTATGATGATTTTTACATTTTTATGGGACTGAAGTTAAAAATAGACAGTTTTTATAAAAATGTTTTCAATTTAGATGTTTAACTAAACACAATTTTATTGTGTTAAATCATTAACAGGTCAAGTGGTAATCAGCAGGTCGATAATAGTGTGAAGTACAGTAGAAGACTGTAACACGGTTAAAGGGAGACAGTGCTTTCAAGTTTAATTTTCAGTTTTGTTTCTCTTTCATATTGTGCAATTCACTGAAAAAAAAAGATACTACATTTTGTTAAGGTAAGTGGTTGCAAACTATTTATTTTAGCTACATTTAATAAAAAAATATATATGTTGAAAGTTAGTCAGCTAAATTTGTTTATTTAAATGTAGCTAAAATAAATTTATTGCAACCACTTACCTTAAAAAATTAATTGAATCATTTTTTTCAGTGTGGTTGCTCAATGCTGTCTTTCTGCTGCGTTTGTGGGTGCCATTTCTGATGTAGGCTGCATGTCAACGTTAAGTCTATTCATAACAAAAATATATGTTGTCATTATTTTGGAAAAGAAACCATTACGATTTTATAGTTTTTTTATTAAAATGATTGATAAATGAAGTGAATAACTCAACCATGTCACAAGCAGTGTTGGGCAGTAACTAGTTACTAGTAACTTAGTTACTGTAATAATATTACTTTTTGCAGTAACTAGTAGTGTAACTAATTACTAATAAGATTTCAGTAATACAGTTACCATCCATAAAACAGCTTAGTTATTTACTTTTGATGCCTCAACCCCGCTGATTTAAAATCCAGCAATCAAATAATTCCTAGATTTATTTTCATCATTTTCACGACTCGCGCATGCATGTGATGTCCCCAGTGCAGCAGGCAAGCTTGGAATATAGAAAAGCTTACATTCAGCAGACAGAAATATTGCCTTATATTGATTTTGTCAGGAAAAAAGATGATCTGAACACTGTTGTGTAAGTTGTGGCTTTACTTTACTCTGACATTAAATCCCACCCACATCCCTCTGATCAGCATGTGGTACATTATATTACTATAATTAAAAATCTTTTTGGAAAATTAAACAGTTTCTTACAAACTTATGTGATTTGATAAAATACATAATGAAATATAATCGTATATGGGTAACGGAGAAATTACAATT